TTCTTTCGTACTCTCTTTACATACGGGATCGGGTTCTGGTGCCTTACAGAACATAGAGGTCAGAAAGAAATAAACTGAAGTATTAGTGTCTAAGTCGCAAAATTTAAATTCTGCACTCAAACACCATTCTACATATGTCGTTCACGGTTTTCAAAGTTGGAACTCGATTATTTGGTATTGTTCGAATTTCTTAGTGATTGTAGACGTTTCACGCTCTATTCGCGTCAAAAGCTAGAGCTCATAACGAGATAACTTTGGCAGTTCATCCGATTTTTGTGGTGCTTTCACATCTATTCACCTAAAATTTTTTTGATATGTGAGTTTGTTTCAGGCTGATTGGTGTGGTTAAGCGAGCGTCATGGATGTGGGCTTTGCTCGTCGTCTAGCGCGCCTAGTTGTCTATAGGGAACGCTATGACCAACCTCCCGATAGTGCTTGCACGTTTGTTACAAATTCACTTATTCTGGAAGGGAAGGTTAATGTTTTGTCTGAAAAGGTGTGTTTTTTTCTTTGAAAATGTTCTGCGATTATTTAAGCATATGTATTATCAGGAAACAGCCGATTTTCTTATTTCTATCACACCAGACAAAGATAGAAGAGATCAAGTGGCGAATGGCCTACTATTCTATTTGCTCACAGATGGAGTTAATTTCAACAAGGTTTGTAAGCTGCGACCACCTTCTTTTGCAGTTTAAGCTTGCGAAGCTTTTTGATGACTTCCTTTTTAAAGTATAAGCTGTTAAGTATTTCCGCTGCTTATCGGTGATAGCGAACGATCAGTGGTACGCCACGCTTTGTAATGTGAATATGATCCTGATTGAGTTATGGCCTAAACTGCAGGAGTCATGTCGAGAGTTGATGCTGCAATTTTTTCGAGAAGCTGTTAAGCTGAATGTTCCAAAGGTGTGGTGATGAGTTTTGTTAAATAATACATTCTGCGAGTTTAACAAAAAATGAAGTTGATTTCATTCAGATTGAAAATGTTATAATGAATCTAGTACGTTGTCTCAACAGCAGTGTTGAGTGGAACCTCAAGCTGCGACACGCACATGTGGTGAGTTTGCTCATTTTTCATACCTTCAAGTTTCCATCAGTTATTAGCCTGATTAGCTCCGCTGATTTTCGGTTGGTAATATTGGTTGTCGGTTTTTAAAAATACTTCTAAGACAATAAACTAATTTGCATATGTTCAAGCAAAGTGTTTTTTTAGATTGCCACTTTACTTAACGAACACGAGCAGTGGATAATGGGGTTGAAGCCAGGAACATTCATGTTGCTGAATATCATAACCATTTTTGGACATTTGATAATCGACATACCTCCTGCCAGTCCTTTTGAGAATGTCCGTCTGGCTATGATACAAAGCCTTGTATTCATTATAAGGTGGGTGGTATTTTTAGAATTATTGGTCAGCCTCTTTTCTTTTATTGTTGATAGATCTCTGCAGTTTTGTGCTCCATTTGTCCATAATCAAGTTGCTTAGGAATCGCTTCCAAGACGTCTGCCTGTTGGGACGTGATTTGCTTCTTGTTCTGATGCGACTGGCTAAGATTCCACAAATTAATGCCATTTGGGTGGATCTCATCACAAATCCATCCAAGTTTGGTCTAAATGACGGTGAGATCAAACCACTGCATCACTTATAGATCCAAAATTCAAAGCTTAGAACTTTTTGTTTTAGGATTAGAGGAATTGTTCCGTTCAAACGCAAACTTCTATCCCGTCAGGTTAGCAGCAGAAATGGCGAAAAAGATTGAGTTCATTATCTGTCAATGCAAGCCTAATGCTCAAGATAAACACTTTGAATGGTTTTCTAATTCGGTAAGTGTGTAACTGCATTTTCCCCTTCATCTTCTTTCCCCTCTTACATGCCAATAATCCACATCAGTAGATTTTTACCTCATCTTTTTTTCCAGTTTTTTCGCGGTCCTGATGGCTCTAGCCTTCGAGCTGAGACCATACGTTATGTCCAATACTTCTTCAAACCTGATATGCCTGCACATGTTCTTGAAGCTCGCGGTCATTTTCTATATTACTTGTTGACGAGTATCCCTCCGAATGTAAGTTAATCCTACGTTTAGCTTCAATAAGTCGCCTACTTTCAAGACTTTAAATAGTCGTTTTTTTCAGTCCGATGTTGAACAGCAGTGGTGCAAAACAGTGGTTTGGTTCGATTGGTTGACGTTTGATCCACACACATCAGTGCAATTCATTGAGCCGGTGATGAGTATGCTCCGAATAGCGCTGGCTAGCATGCCATCTAAAGCCACCGCCTTATTGGAATATGTTTGCAAGGTAGCTTTTTATCTTCTTTGTTCAATTTTTTAAAGAAAAATTCAAATGTTTATTCAGAGTGTTGCGCTGATCTACCCTGCTCGAATGGAGCTATTCAAGAAATCTGTCAACGATGCCATGCAAGCTGTGCATGAGTACTATCAAGGGTTGGTTCCTTCTTCTCGCTTAGTATGCGTATTTCATGTCCTATTAAATCTTTTTTTTTCGCGTTAGTCAATTCAAGTTTTTTTTTTCCATTTTTCATCTATCAGAAAAAGTTTGCATTTTTAGCGGATTGACAGGTCTTCTTGACAATCCTCGTATTGAGCGCACCGTTCGCGAATTGGTTCGGGAGACGTTCTCAGACTATTTCGCTCGGAATGCTCCTCCTCCTGTACCTCCGTCAATTCCACCCTCAGCTTCGGCGCCACAGCTAAATGTACCACAGCAGCAACCTCCAGTGACACGGTATATTATTTCTCACCATTGTTTTGGTATCAAACTAGCTATTTTGCGTTCAGACCACAGTCGTTACCCTCAACGGCTGTTGCACCATCAAATTCTAATCACACCACGAGTAATAAAGAACGAGGTCGATCGAAGGATAAGGAAAAGAACAAAGAGAATGAGAGAGAGGAAAAGGAACGAGTAAAGCAGAGCAAAACACCTAGTCCGCCAAATGGTACTGTAATATCTCCAAAAGTCGATGAGGTAAGTGCTTTTCTCTTTAATTCTCCTTGCCTAACCATGCTCAAAGTGTTATCAGGGTTACAATAGTAACCTAGTAAGCCGTTTACTGGATAAAATTCACTTCCTATTACAGACTTACACCTTCTATAAAGCGAAATTGCGACAGTTAAAGAGAAGCTAATTGTTGCACCCACAGTGTAAATTTAACTATTCAAATCAAATACTCATCGAATGTATAGAAAAATTCTCTCTCAAAAAAGTAGCTGTTCATTTTCAGCCAGTCACATTACAGGCGAAAAAGAGGGAACGGGAAAAGGAAATTGACGAGTTGGTGGAGCAGTTACGAGATGATTTCAAAACAACGATGGTATCATTAAGGTCTCTAGTTGATCTTTCTCTTTTTAACATCGCCTCCACTTTATGGCATTTTTTCTCCTTTTTTCTATATCGTTATTTTCAAATTATTCTCATATGAGAAAAGGCTTGATTTTTTCTAAATACCCTAGCATATTTCAGGGAAACTTACCGTGATACGGAAGACGACAGTGAAAGGGGAGAAGCTGTACAACGATTACTGCAGAAACTTTTAGAAAATGTGGGTATTCAAATTGAGCTCTACTATTCGCCGTAGCATTGTAATTTTCTCCAGGAAGATCCGATAGATGATGAGCAACTTGAATTGGTAGCACACAGTGTTCAACTTTTGATGGGCAGCCCCGTAAACGGTCGTCGCTCCATCCTTCCAGATCCTGTCACAGAAGATGCACTGGCTGATTCATTCGCGCATCCATTATTTATCATCTTCCGAAATTTGTGGTGAGTAAGACTAATAGGTGAGCGTTTTTTTTTTTAAATGATTCAAATTTTCAGCTACACACCAGACACGGATGCAACGACGAGGTCGTTAATGGTGAACATGATTGCGACAATGCGGGATTATGATAACACAGTCACTTACCTTATGCTGTTTTTCATAAAGGTATTGTACTTTTCTTCCAATTTTTGAGACCTGCTGACTAACACTATATACAATGATGTTGCTCTGCACAATTCACAGCTATGATTCTTAATCAGTAAGTTTTCTTGTCTCATCCCCTTTCTATTCACTTAAGGCGAACGATGGTCTAAGCAACGAATGCATTTTATGTTATCGTGATGTAGCTCGCGCGAGAGAAGAGGACATAGAAACATTGATAACAGCTGATTTGCAGGTAAGAGT